AAAAACAAAAATTAGCTGGGCATGGTGGTGCACGCTTGTAGTCCCAGCTACTCGAGAGGCGGAGGCAGAATCGCTTGAACCCAGGAGGCGGAGGTTGCAGTAAGCCGAGATCGCACCATTGCACTCCAGCCTGGGTAACAAGAGCAAAACTCTGTCGCAAAAACAAAAACAAACAAACAAAAAAACCTCCATCTCCTCACCTGTGTAATGAGAAGTCCATGGGTCATCTCTAATATCCCCTCCAGCCCAGAAAATCTCCATTCCTAACCTCCCCCCTTTCTCCCGTCACTGCTAAAGTACCCAGTCAGAGACCACTGTATCTTTGACTAGATAAAAGCCCTGGTAGAGAGGAAACCTCTAAGTAACAGGACATAATTAGTAAGACTATACAGGTACCCAGTGCAAGAGGAAATAGCCAGCACATTCACTCATTCATTAAAAAGACACGTATTTCTTTCAACCATGTACCAGACATTGTTGAGTGCATTGATGAACAGAAAATGCAAATAAAATTCAAAAAGCTAAAAGCTACATACCGACCCTATGCTATTTCTTACACCAAGACGGATGAAAGGGTGATAGTGGGAGGTGAGAAGCCATATTGATCAAATATTAATCAACATTAATAATACAAGCAAAAATATAAAACTACAATAGTAATAAGTGCTTTGAAGGCAAAATGCAGAGTGTTATAGGAGGTCAGAGAAAATTGACCTAATGAGGTGGCCAGAGGCTTGATCTGATAACAAGGTGAAGAGGTACCAGGGAACAGAGCCTTCCATGCAGAGAGAATAGATGTGCAAAGGCTCTTTGGCTGCAGAAAGCAGGATGAGTTGGTAGAATTAGTAAAAATTTCTGTGTGGTTGTAAAAAGAGTAAGAGGAGTCTGGAGAAGAAAGAACCAAGGGGCCTAACTATGTATATATTTTCTGTGCCATGGTAGGAACTTTTATGTTTATCTTAAGAGCAATACTATACTATTTAAGGTATGTGTGCGTGCATGTGTGTGAGTGTGTGTGTGCGTGTGTGTGTGGTGTGTGTGTTTGAAAGAGAGAGAGCTGGTCAAAGCTGTCTTTGAAAAGATCACTCTGGGTATTATATGGAGAATGGACAGAGGCAGGTCACGGTGTTGTGACTGAGTCACAGAACCTGGTAATTCTGTTGGCTCCTCCACTGTACATGATTACAGCATTCTTGCTGGGCAGAACTATGGATTCTGTCTAGATTCCCTGGCTGTCTACCTGCTGGAATCCTGCCTCCACCAACATCTCTGGGCAGCCTGTGTACCCATGTTTTAAGTTAAACTAAATATAAGGCAAACCTTATATTTAGTGGGAGTGGGCTTCAGTGTCCCACAGGGCTCAGGGCATGTCTTCAGTGGCTGTTCACACTGGAGATGCGGCTTCCAGATGTGGAGAACACAAGCATTCTGCCCCCGAGGCAGGATCAGACAGTGAAATTCTGCCTTGGAAATCAAACCACACCCCCACCCCGCAACACACACACATCTGTGTTACCCCACGTATCGGTCGGAGACTTTTTCCCTGGACAAATGATGATTTATGAGAGGCTGTTCTGTTTCCCGCCTTTCTCCTGCTCTATTTTAGGAGAACATAACTAGACCATGTGTTTTTGCTTAGCCTGACGCATTCTGAGCAAGCTTTCTATATTCCGTGTGCCGATGAAAGGTCTTTGCTTAAGAAGTTGAAGAAAAGAAAAGAAAAAAAAAATGAAAGTGAGCCCAACCCCCACCTCCCCTGGTTGGCTAAAGGAAAGGTCATTATCCATACGCTGGAGTCCCACTGAGAACCCCCAGGGCAGACTGAGCTGGCCTTTTATGATCAGACTCTGGGGTAGACCAACACTCCCACACACCCCACTTCATGGATGAAGAAAGCTGGGAGGGACGAAAGGTGGGAGCAGTGGCTGCGTTTTAGCCTCTTAGACTCACTAAGCACTTTCCCTCCTTGGGGCATTTGAACCTGTGGTTCTCGCTGCCTGAAATCCTCTCCTTCCCACTCTTCACACCCTCAGGACTCAGCTTAAATCACATCTCTCCACAGCAGCCGTTCCTTCCCGATCACTCCATCCAAAGCAAGTCTCCCCGAAATTGTGCACCTCAGCACCCCACTTGTTTCTTTTGTGACAATGATCATACGTGGTAATTATTACATTTAATTTTTTACTTACTTTTGCTTTTTGCTTCTTTCTTTCATTTGGCCAGGGGTTGGCAAACTATGGCCCATAGGCCCAATGTGATCCCACTGCCTGTTTTTATAAATAAAGCTTTATTGGAATGTAGTCACCCATGCTCATTTATATTCATTTAGAGATGGAGTTGCACTCATTCTGCTGGCCAGGCTGGAGTGCAGTGGTGCAATCCCAGCCTTCTGCAAGCTCCATTTCCCAGGTTCAAGAAATTCTCCTGCCTCAGTCTCCCAAGTAGCCAGGATTACAGGCACGCACCACCACACCCAGCTGATTTTTGTATTTTTAGTAGAGACAGGGTTTTGCCATGTTGGCCAGGCTGGTCTTGAACTCCTGACTTCAAGTGTTCTGCCCGCGTTGGCCTCCCAAAGCGCTAAGATTACATGCACCAGCCACTGTACCCAGCCTCACACTCATTTCTTTACAGAGTGTCTATGGCTGCTTTCACCATACAAGGCAAAGGTGAATGGTTGTGACAGAGACTATTTCAAGCCTAAAATATTTACTATCTGATGTGTTACAGAAAAAGTTTAGTGATCCCTGGAGTAGACTGCCAGCTACATGAGGGCAGAGACTAAGCTTTGCTTCTCTAGCAGTGTGTTACTGGTACCTATCTCAGACTCTGGACCATCACAGGTGTCTGATAGGCATTTGCTGCAAGACAAACCCTTGCAAGTGCCAGGTTGGAACTGCTGAGTCAATGACCAAGAGGGACCTCAGGATCTCTTTTGTTGGCTTTATTTAAGGTTTGCCTTATATTTAGTTTAAGTTAAAACCAGGAAAATATATTTCAGTTTCCTAATATAGTGCCTTAAACAAAATAAAAGGCAAAGTTTTAAGGGAGGAGGGAATCCCTCAAACTGGATTTTAAAAGACCAACTGAGCAATAAATATCAACAATTCTGATTTATGAGGCCACAAGGAGTTGTCCCTAGCTACAATAGCAAGCTCAAAGGAGGCAGCCCAAATGGACAGAAATACAGGGGCTACATAAAAGCAAATAAAATACAATAATTTACTAGTTTGATTTTCCTCCAAGCAGGCAAACACTTCCTGCTGATAAATGGTGAGCATTTGTGCAAATCTTAATCAAGCCTTTGGGAAAACACTTCTGTAGCACAATCAAGATTTTTAAAAAAGCCACCCAGTCATGGGAAAATATTAGCAGTGATTTAACTGGACACAGTGATGGAATACTTTGAACATTATAATTTGATCAGAGACATCCAATGTGGATTTATGTGAGGGAGAGTTTAATACCTAACCTGTTGGAAGTAAGTTTCCTGGATGAATTACTACCATGGGAGATAAGGTCGAGGCAGATATTTACATGCCTCTCAAAAAGCCTGGGGCATAGTTTTACGTATTATTGGCCAACAAAACATATGAGGAGAAATTAGGAGCCTATTAAACACATAGTGCCAAAGCCCACACTCATTTCATTTTTCAAGCTGGACAAAAGGTAAGCAGCCAGGTAGACTGAGTGAAGCTTACTGTGTATAAATAACAAACAAACTGAGAAAACGGAAAATAAACCAGTTAAATACAGTCAACCTTTCAGCCTTCTGGTTACCTACTAGTATTTGTTTTGAATCTTTTGATCCAAATGTTATAATTCAGGCAAAGATATAACATGAACCAGGATGAGCATCAAAGAAATTGCAGTCAATCTGAGTTGTTAGGAGCTGAACCTCCTGGAGATAAGCAAAGGGACCCCTTTACCTTAAAGCATACCTGCTCCATATCACTTCCACACACTGCAAAATACATTTCCTGTGCCAATTAGGGCCTTTAATACATTTCCAGTGAAGAAGGCTCTAAAAGATAGTAGGTATGGTCGATGTGTCCAAAACAGTCTGCAGATCATAACCAGGACCAGAACCAGAACTAGGGAGAGGTGTGTAAGACGCACCCAGGGCACACCTTTAAAGGAGGCACACTTGCAGTTATGGCTCTGCACTTCCACATCCCTGAGAGAGGGCCTCCTTAAATGGTACACCCTGGGCACCTTGCATGTCTCAGCACACTCTATGCTGTATGTGGGACTTCGTTCATCTTAGAACAATTGCGCTCACCTGGGCCACTCTCAAAGGGGAGAAATGATTGCCTTCATTTAGAGTAATATGCTATGAAAGAGAAAATTCCTAAGATTATAAATACCTATTGGAAGAAAACATGGTTAGAACATAAGATATAAGCCTATTCTCCTACATTTAAGAGATAAACATGTTGTTTAGGCGAGACTTTGCTTACTTCAACAAGGAAAGATACTCAAACACTTTAAGTGAATTTAAAACAAAGATGGATTTTGAAATCATAATAGCTAAGAAGCAAACGTTCAAGCTTGGATGGGACCTTTGCTCTTACTATTATCAAACATGAACTTGAGAAAGTTGTAAAATACGCCATGACTTTGTCCATATAGCCCCATATTTGTGGTTTTCATTGCATTTTGACCAATATTAAGTTAGTTTAGGAAAATATGAGTTTGGCCTATTCATGCATGGGTCTCTTATGATGTATCTTTTGCTCATCCAAAAAGAACTTCACGCCAAGAGCACTCTGACATACCAGTGTAGCAAACTGCTTTTATGAACCCACCCTAAGTACAGACAGAATTCTTCTCTATCGCTTATCAGCAATGACACCTAAAAGTTCACTGTCTCTCCGAGGGCAAACTTTCCACTTAATTCTGAGTTGGTGCTTCTGGTTTCTAGGCAAATAGCTCAACAGTTCCAATTAGAATGTACTGGAACATTCTAATGCGTCAACCTCTCCAATTGTGAACTCACACCAGCTGGCTCCCTCTCTCTCTCTCTCCCTTCATCCTACCCTGTTAGTTGGAGAAACAAGATCTGCTTTCTAAGTCACTAGATGGCAAGGCCTCAGAGCTCAGTATCTCAACAAGGAAAAATAAGCAACAGCGTGTGGTTCTGTTGTCTGAGGCAGGCCAAAGCTTAGGCAGTCATAATGTGCAGAAGTGCCTGAAGAGATGCTATATCGATTATGAGATACAATTGTGAATTTTATTACCTTCTGGGAAAAAATAGAAAACATAAAAGCAAGAGTTTTGTGCCAGATGTAAGAACTAAACTCTACGGTTATCTGATTAGCATTAGAGACATGTGCTTTGAATGTGAAACACTTCTAAGTCTCCCGAGGTGAGTGCTCGATCTTATCTGTGCCATGTATGTCAGATTTTTATAAGCCTGTTCTTCTCAAATGGGACCCAGATGAAGTTCAATCGTTTACCTGGAAAAGTCTGAGAGGTTCACTGGATTTTTTTTTTTTTATTATTTTAGAAGTGTGATTTTTTTTTGTTTTTTTTTAATAAGAGAAAGGTAAAGCTTTGGGACTTTGCCTGGAATCGAGGGGGCAGCCTGAGTCAGGGCACCAGGTGGTATGAGACTGAAGGAGAACTAAAGGGATTCATCCTGGTGCTGCCTCTTGGTATGCCACCATGAGACTGCCCTCGTCTTTACAATGTCAGCTCTGGGGACAGAAGCTTCCTCTTAAGTCTGCATATTACGCTTGGTGGTGAGAGAATCTCCTAGTCCCTGCCCGCATGCATATCTTAATGTATCCTCCAAAATGTTGTTTGATTCTGCAAAACCTATCTCTGGGCACTCTAAATATCCCACATGCGACTCCTTTTGTGTTTGGAGAGTTCCAGGGGAGGTGCAAGTCAGGGTGAGGTCCAGTGTTCCTTCCTGCCTCTCACAGTTTATCAGCATCTACCATTTTGTCAAATGATGATCCCCTTTCTGTGAGGACAGAAAGAGACAGGTGCTCTCACGCATTTCTGGAAGGAATATAAACTGGTAACGTCTTTCAGTTGGGCAATTTGGCAATATATCTCAAAAGCTCTTAACGTGTACATAACCTTTTATTTAAGAGCTTTACTCCTAAGGAAATATGACAAAGCCCACCAAAAATATATGTATAAGGATGTTCCCTGGACCACTTTGGATGATGGAAAAAATTGAAAACCACGTAAGTTTCCCAACTGTAGGAGCTAGTTGTCATGGCCCACCCACTGCAACGGAAGAAAAACAGTCATTAAAAAGGATGTTATTCATGAATGGCTGGACACAGTGACTCACGCCTGTAATCCCAGCACTTTAGGAGTGCGAGGCAGGCGGATCATGAGGTCAGGGGTTCGAGACGATCCTGACCAAGATGATGAAAGCCCATCTCTACTAAAAATACAAAAATTAGCTGGACATGGTGGCATGCACCTGTAGTCCCAGCGACTCAGGAGTTTGAGGTAGGAGAATCACTTGAACCTGGGAGGCAGAGGTTGCAGTGAGCTGAGATCACACCACTGCACTCCAGCCTGGACAACAAGAGCAAAACTTCAGCTCAAAAAAAAAAAAAAAAAAGAAAAGAAAAGGATCTTATTCATGAACTTGGAAAAATGCTTTCTATATATTTTTAAAGTGAAAAGGTAGGTTTCCAAAGAGTACATAGTATAATCCAGGGCTATAAATGTGTGTGTGTGTGTGTGTGTGTGTGTAAGAGAAATGCACACTGGGGTAAAATTGCATGAAAATATTACTAGTGGTTATTTCTAGGCAAGCAAGTATGAGTTTAACTGATTTTTCTTGATTGGCTTCCCTGTCTCATGTAACTTCTCTACAGTGAAAACAACACTTGTGTCAGAATTTTTCCAAGCTGCCTTGCATTCCTGACAATCCATCTCAAATCTTTGAGGGATTTTTCATTTTTGTTGCATCTTCCCCTCTACAACCACAGTATCTGATATGGTCAGCCTTTGTCTGCAGGAAGAATAAAGCCTTGGGTTCCCACTCTACTTCCTACCATGCAAAGCTGGCAGAAAAGATGAGGTCTGCGCTCTCCAGTGGAGATTTCAGACACTCTCGTACCTCCTGCTAGCACCTCCGTGCCTGCACCAGATTCTCTTCCCAAGCTTTGCTCACCTGCTCTGGCAGGCATTCAAATTCCTTACTCATGGCTCTCCCCAGGCCCTAGAAACAAGAGTGGGTTCTTAAGATTCCTCACCATCCTCCTCCCTGAATGTAAAGATTAAGAACGATTTATCTCTCCCCTCCCGTTAAATATGCCATTCCTTCTCTCCAATCCTCTCTCCCCCTCTGCTTTCCTGGGTCAACGAGGCTGGGGAAACTGCTCAGCACCATCGTTATCAGCAAGCTTAGTGCCCCCCTCTCTCCCCATGCCCTTGCTTCATCGTTACTCCTCTTGGGTCTCCCAACACAACGTGTAAATCTTCTCATTACCTCTCCCTGTTATCCTGGAATTCAAGCTCATTCTCTTCCCAAATATAGCAGAGACAGGAGCTCCAGACTTCACCCTTGGACAGCAGCAGAGAGGAATCCTACCCCTGTCGTCACCCTGGCAGACACCAGCCTCACTGCCAAGTTTGGAAGGTGTCTTTGTATCTGGCCCTGTTGGGTTCATTACAAAGGGAATCCTTCTATGAACCTAACTATCTATGCCCTTTGAAAGCACCGGTCTTCAAGGATCATAAAATCTCACTGGGCAGATGTGACTCCAAACTTAACATGCTCATCCAGTAGCAATCTGCCTCCCACCTCACCTCTCATCCGAAACTGGACTTCTAAAGCTAAGAGTATCCTCTCTTGTTTACCAAATCCACCTCCTAAGTTCACACTGTCTCAGCTACACACCTCTGTTGGTCTTTGCCCTACTGAGGATGATCTACATGAAACTCAGGAAAATATAAAGGCTTTGACTCAGACAGACTTAGGTCTGTCTTAGCTCTGACTCTTTCTAGCTGTGTGACCTTGGGCAAGTTACTCTACCCCTCTGATCTTCAGCTATAAAATGTTGACAACATCTACTGTGTACCGATGATTTCAGAAGCAGAAGGAAACCCAGGTGGAGTCTATGAATATGGCTTTGCTCTCTTGGTCTGGAGGATCTTTGCTCAGAGAAAATTCCAGAGCATTTTTTTCCCCTAACATATACCAAGCTGGAAATAATAATAATAATTAATCATTTCGATGTAGAGTCATTCTCATTGTAACCAGCAGAGAGGAACAAAGTCACGTGAGGAGTAAAATGAAAGAACGGTTGGGCATTTTTGTGTTTTGGTTTATCTCACCCCCCTGAGCTGATTCCTCTATTTTCTTTTTAAACAGACACAGTGGAGGCAGTTAAATGAGCCTCAACCTGAATGCAGACAAGCAAGGCGTCAATTTTAGGCTGTGATGAATAAATTATGCAGAGGTTTTTGGCTTTAATTTTCTCCTCGGTTGACATGTACTTTGAGTTGCCTACTGCCTGGGAGTCAGTGTTTAACTGGACAAAAAGAGACAGAGCTAACCTGTGCAATCCTTGGCCATAGGCGGTTCTGTTTTTGACAGCTACATTACCCCAAATTGCAGGGCTTTGTTTGTTTTCGTTTTTCTCCTGTTGAGGGAAAGAGCAGCAGGAAGAGAATCCCTCCCTCACAGGTCATTCTGAAAACGACCGTAAAGCTATCAACAAGAAAAGCAACCGGATGGGGCTGCTCCGCTCAATCTGGCTGATAAACTCAAACACATCTAGATGGTTTTCTGACAGGTTAGGAGCTGACAGCTTGATAAATGGGAACGAGACACCCTGAATTTGTTGGTGACAGGTGCAGTTTCCAAGAACTTGCTTTCTTCCCCTGTAGCAGCCCCGACTCCTGGAGAGGGGGAAGGGAACAGTTGGCTCAGGTTCACTTTGGGGCTCTCAAAACTAACATTCTCATAGGGATGGAAGTTTCGTTAACAACCTAATTTCTTCCTCACCATCCTTTTCTTTAAGAAGCAAAGACAAGGCCGGGCGTGGTGTCTCACACCTGTAAGCCCAGCACTTTGGGAGGCCGAGGCAGGTGGATCACCTGAGGTCAGGAGTTCAAGACCAGCCTGGCCAACACAGTGAAACACCGTCTTAACTAAAAATACAAAATTAGCCAGGTGTGGTGGTGTATGTCTGTAGTCCCAGCTACTTGGGAGGCTGAGGCAGGAGAATCACTTGAACCCAGGAGGGGGAGGTTGCAGTGAGTTGAGATTGCGCCATTGCACTCCAGCCTGGGTGACCAGAGTGAAACTGTCTCAAAAAAAAGCAGCAGCAAAGACAAAACAGAAAACAAACAATTCTTCTAAACTGAAACAGTGTATGGCAGTCCCAAAGCAGATCTGTGCAGGAGTCCAGCACTGGGCTGTGTTATGGCCACAGAGCACACGGCTATCTTAGCTGTCATAGCAAGTGACAACTTTTTTTTCTGGGGTATCTCAAACTCGCCCCTTCCCCCGACCTATGCCATGTAGTTTCCTACTCCTACCCTGGAACCAGAAATATCCTCTTTTCTTCCCACGAAGAACCTGGATCATCACCACTTTCATCGCTTCCTCGCTATGTTACCTTGAGCAGGGTATGTAATATCTTTGGGCCTCCGTTTCCTCATCTGTGAAACGAAGAGTCATTTAGTCAGCAAATATTTATGGAGGGCTTATTTTATGCCAGATATTTTTCAGGCATCAGGTTTGTGGTGGTAAACCAGACAAACAAATCCCCTGCATGAAGAGCCTGCATGCTGGTGGGTCCATCTTCCTTATCCATCTGCCCAACAATTCATTCTTAAACATCATCCACAGGCCAGCTGTTAACTCTAGATGCTGGTGATTCAATAGCAAAGGGAAGCTTCCCTTCTTGTGGAGTGTATGTTTGTAGAGAAAATGTGCAAATGAGACTACATGAGATGTATGCAAGAAAGGGACACTATTAGCATATTGCAAGTGTGCACTATCTAGTGACTACTGCCCTATCATCAACATCTTCAGTATCACCATGCGTGAATCATCTGAGATCACTGCGACAGACCAGTTGTCCTGACTGCGGACATGCGGTTTTCATGCTCTATGCCTGCATTACACATGTGTGAGGTTGGATGGATCTAATCAGAGGACAACATGGCCAGATGGTGGGAGGTTCCACTGCACCAAGCAGGGACCAGAGGTTCCACTGTACCCCACAGCAGGAATCATTTCCTTCATCTTGCTGTCTTTCTACATGGTTGTACCCAGTATAAACTGAAATAGATTGTCTAATCTGCCCGTTCCCACTCCCGTTCCAGAAGCAGACTTCACAACTGTACCTCAAACTCAAAGGTAAACTTTAGCATACATATTTCTGGAGTCCCGGGATATATCATCTTCAATCCCTGAGAAGTGGATTTTGTTTTTAATAAAAAGTGTTCAACAAATATCTGTAGAAATAAATGCATAGGAAAAATGTGCAGATGTCCGTAGCATGTAAGCTGAAAACCAGGGCATCCCAGAGCCCTCTGCTTCATAGAAATGCCTGCTTTAAATCTGTTTTCTCTGAGGGAAAACCTTTCCACTACCTCTCTCATCCTCCCTCCCTTGATATGTTTCATGAGCAAGTCTCTGGCGCTACTACCTTCTGGGTCTCAGGACTACCTTCTAGATTCTGAGGCTACCTTGGGGAGTGAGAGTTCAATGGACTTACATTATAGGTGGGGAGATAGGAAACACGTAAGACTACATGTAGATAAACTGCAAAAATGATTTATGTAAAAAAGGGGTTACATAGTCATGGTGATGGGATGTATTTGGAGGAGGTCATATTAGGGCTGCGAGGAAGGTCCCTCTGGGGAAGCGATGACTCTTGAGCTGAGACCTGAAGAAGGGGAAGGCTCCAGTGGGAAGACCTGGAGAGGCATCCAGGCAGAGGAAGAGCAAGCACAGTTGCCCTCCCACCCAGTTGACTGGGGAAAGAGGAAGCACGAGGCAGAGAATGGTGCAGGATGAGGTTGGGCAGGGTAGGAGGAGCCGGTAGAAGCATGATGTTGACATTGAGGGACCAAGTAAGGAGTTGGATTCAACCTGGCTTGCTGAGGAGCTGGCTTCAGGGCAAAATGAGGGCATGCGTGCATGTGTGCGTGTGCGTGTGTGGCAGGGAGGAAAGAAATCAGAAAAGAAAGAAAGAGTCTTAGGTTTTTAGTTGGAGCAACTGGGTGAATTATGGCTGACCCTTTACCCAGGGTTGCTTAAGGGCCATATTGGTGAGGACTCCCTAGACTTATGCTTGAATCTCAGTTTCCCCACTTGTCAACTGAGTAACTCTGAAAAGTTACATCACATCTCTGAGCCTTGATTTCTTTATCTGTGAACATGGTATATTACCTTTAGGGTTGAGGTAGGGATGACGCAAGATAGCCACTGGGAAGCACTAAGCATGGAATGAAATCCTAACAAAGGCTCCATGCCTTCAGATTCCTTCCCTTCCTCCTCCTTGCTGTCTTCTCTAGACTCATACCTGTCTCTGCCTGTTTTAACTCAGAGTTTGCTTGTTGCCTTGCATTGGACATGAGAAGCATGCAACATTTCATCCACACTTCAAGGCAGCTGTTGTCACTCTACTCTCTCCTCCTGTTCACAGGTCAAATGCATTCTTTCCAAATCCTTCTGTCCCCTCAGGCCGTGCCACAGATATCCCCCACATGGATTTTTAGGTTTTCTTCTCCTCTCTAGGTGTAAGTTCCTGGTAAAAGCAGAGATGAAGTGTTTGGCTGAGCGAAATGCTAAGAGTAGCTGGAGCAGACTTGCCTTAGATGACCTCTGAAATTCTTTCCAACTTCAGGATGTTAAGCTCCAGCTTGACACCGATTCTGGGCATTGTCCTTGAAGAGCCGGAAGGCAACAATGGGACAAAGACAGGTCCCCTCCACCGCCCACCCCATTTTGTTTTCATGACAGCCATGAATAGAACTATGGTTTTCTAACTGCTGACTTCCGATCCATGCACAGAAGCAAAACCATCTACAAATAACTTTTTCCCTCTTTTTCATAAAAAAAAAAAATTTTTTTTGAGTCAGATTTTTGCTCTTGTCGCCCAGGCTAGAGTGCAGTGGCGCCATCTCAACTCACTGCAATGTCTGCCTCCCAGGGTCAAGTGATTCTCCTGCCTCAGCCTTCCAAGTAGCTGGGATTACAGGCACCTGCCACCACACCCAGCTAGTTTTTGTATTTTTAGTAGAGATGGGGTTTTGCCATGTTGGCCAGGCTGGCCCCTCAGGTGATCTGCCCGACCTCTGGTGATCTGCCCACCTCAGACTCCCAAAGTGCTAGGATTACAGGCATGAGCCACCACACCTGGCCTTCATTGAAAAATTTTAAACTGCCTTATTGAGATAAAATTTACACACCTTGTAGTTCATCCATTTAAAGTATAGAATTCAGTGGTTTTAGTGTACACACAGATGTGTGCAACCATCACTGTCGTCAATTTTAGGCAATTTTCATTACTTCACAAAGAAGCCCCATATCCCTTAGCTACTAACTCCTATACCCTCTTCCTCCTACCTAGCCCTGAGCAACCACTAACCGGGACTCACACTATGCCCACCTCACTGTTAGGAAGGATCGTTCTTAACTGACAAGGAAGACATCGTAAATATTAGCTAATTTCAATCCTGAAATGGGATAAGTTTAATAGTTTGTATATAAATTCTGGACATTTGTAAGGCAATTCAACAATGTCAAGGGGGAAACGTTGGATTCCTCACTAATGGAGCTTTCATGAAAAATACAGGTAACTCTAAAACCATAGTTATAAAAGTATCTCATTCTCCTGTTGTTTGGAACACTAAATTATATGTCTTTTTAAAAGCCGGCATCTCTCACTCTCTCCACCTACCTATCTACCAACCCATCTAAATATTTTCAGAGTTTGTTCTAAAGTTTGAAAAATTACATCCAGAGAGGTGCAGAGCCTTGTTCAAGGTTACACAATGACTTCTCAGGGAGCTGGACCTCCCAGTGAGGTCTCTTGCCTCTTGGTTCACTGCCTTCTCCAGCTTCACACACTCTGCTGAATTCGCATCACTCAGGGCATCTGACTCATGAAACTGAACTATATTGCTGAGCAAGAAGAGAAACATTCTTTGTTGACCCCATTATCTTTCCAGTTCAAACTAGATCTTGGCTTCTACCACTCCAGGAAAGGCCAGATCCCAAAAGAAAACAGAATTTTAAAAAGTAAGTTCCTTTTTAGCTTTTGAGTTTTGAAGAGACCAGTTTTAGAGATTTAAGGGAGATGGAAGGGGTTTTCAAGGGTACATTTGACTGCACAGATTTTCATATCACTGTGACTTTAGATCCAAAGGCCTGCGTTTAACAGACTGTGTTGTATTTCTTCCAAAAGACAGTTCCACTTAGAAGAGGCTTTGGGGCTCTGGAATCATCTTGAGAGAAAAGGAGGGGTGGCTCTTTAAAGATACCAGTTCAGAATGTGGTCAGTTCTCTCTTTAGGGAGGGGCTGTCATCCACCAACTCTCTGCCCCAGGTCCTCTGCCAAAAAGACCGGGGTTCAGCCATACCAACCTCTCCTCTAATATACCCCGACTGTCTAACTCCCGTGCATCTGATCCCAACTGCTGCAGGGGGTTCAGGAAATCCCCAGAGGAGGTAACCCTGGTCTTCTACATTTTAGCACACCTCTGAGAATGGGGAAAGGACTGCAAGCATCCCTTCTGAAAACCCTGCTCCTTTGATGAACTTTCGCCCTAAGTTCAGGAGGCTGGTCTGCCACCATTCTCACTCCCACGGTTGACAAATAACCACGGCATCCTCAGACTGGTGCTCCAGGCAGGTAGAAAAGTCATCACACAGGGCACACAGATCCCCTCTACTGAGCGAAAATGCAGCTGAACATAGAAAGGGACTTCCTGGACGTAGTGCCTTCCTGTACCTGGCAGGTGATGTCCCCAACCAGGTCCCTCCACAGCCTACACAGGTGGAGGTGGAGGAGCAAGTAAAGTGGACGCAAGACTCACCTCACCTCTCCAGGAAGCCTGCAATCACCAGGCTCTCCAGAGCATGCCGTAGAGCAAGGGCTGGAGTTTTTCCTAGTGAACTCTGCTTCTGAAATCCTACTTCTGCTGAAATAGATCAGTTCATACATCATCAGGGCCAGTCTCACGTACGCTGTTCTGTTCTGGACCAAGTCACTCCAGCCAGGAAATCCAACCCCTTTTCCCTCATTTGCGAACATCACACCCCTGCACAGACACCCCCACACACAGCCATCCACACAGACACACCTACATAGAGACATCTGCATTGACACAGCCAGCCACACATGGGCACATATCTGTATACCTACACAGACACCCGCACGGACACACAGGCACACACCCACAGGATGCAGGCTCACGTGAAGGTTGTATAGAAGGAAAAAGATTTAAAAATAAATTTTAAGCATCTTTGTTCTAAAAAAAATTCAGCCACTTTTCTCTGCAGGATTTTGTTTCTTACATTCTTCCCTGGATTTCCTCCTCTGTGTCCCTCCCCAGAAGTCCTCTAGACACCTGTTCCTCACTCCACCTCCTCTCATTTTGTTAGGCAGAACAATTTACCTGTGACCAATCCCACCTCCAAATGAAGTTCCTACTTTTGCCATGCGTCCAGAGCTATGGGGGGGCGCCCTGCCGGGGTCCTATTCATCTCACTCCCACCCCATCTCCTGCAAGAGGAAAGGAGCAGTACAGAGATTAACTTCTACAATTGACTCTACCCCTGGAAGAGCCAAAGCAGGGAGAGTCGATTTTAATTTTAAACAATACTAAATCTCTCTCCATGAACCACCAACTTCAGCCTTACCTTGGCGCAGTAGCTCCATGACCTCTGAAAGTTATGGCAGGCATCGCTGGATACCAGGAGTCAGCTATGATTCTCAGTGCTTTCATTCATGATCTCACTCAGTCTCGAGCACTCTTATGAGGTAGGTGCTGTCATTGCCTACTTTTATAGGGAGGGAAACTGAGGCTCAGAGAGACTACGTAACTCACTCCAGGTTGTTCCACTGGGGATCTCCCTCAGAGTCCACTTTCTTGACTCCTCTGACATGCTCTTTTGCAAACTACAGGTCACTGATTCAATTGTTCTCAATGTGGCTACAGAGTCAAACTTCCTGAGAAACGGTACCCACAATTTTCAGGTGTGTGTGTAGGAGGTAATGGGGCCACAGATGCTGTACATACCACTGCCGACTCATTGCTAGAAAGCCTTTTCAACCTCAGAGAATGTAGCATTCCACGCTAACCATCATTTAAAGTTCCTACAATGAATGAAAAAATAAACACAGAGCTGAGAGTATAATTCAGCGAGCTGCACTCCCAAATGAAGCTGATTCCAGATAGAAAGCAGATTTTCATATTTACTGTATGTGACAGCTGCAGGAATTAAATGAATCATCTGTCTATCTCTACTGCCTTGTTCCTCCTGTGCTGTGAGCATCTATCCCTGGGGTTGTCTGTCTTCCCATTCCAGGAAGACAGATCAGTGTAGTTTCAATTATTAATTCCATGTTTGGATCACAGTAACACCAGTTCCAGTTCAGTGACCTGCAGTTCCTATTGATTTAAGTGATGAATTATCTACACTGCAATGTATTATTAACTTTATTTTGTCTCTTATTCCTTCCGCATTCATGTATCAAAATAATAGAGCGCCATTCACCGGCTAAAAGGACACGTTTCCCTTCTCACGTTTCCCATAAGGGTGAAGCCAACATACACCAGGGAGGTAATTACACAGAGCTGGGATGGGGGCTGGACATTTATTTTCCTATGAATTATTTATCTCGGCTGTGAATTTGGGGGAGAGGGTGGGGGAAGGCCTTTAGCGGGGAACAAAGGGGCCCTAGAGGGAAATTAACGAAGACAAGTGACGATTAGAATCTGGGAGATTCACAAGAAATGAAATAACCTCAACTCAAAAGTTTAACTTTTTGGAGTCAAATCTGGCCGTTCTGATAATGACCGGAGGGCGGGTGTGGCAGTGGTAACGACAGTGGCACAGTGCGTAGGGAAGGAGGCAAGAGAAGAGAGCACCATCAGTTTCTACTGCCATTGCTTTTTGGATAGCTCCACCTGCCCCAACGCAACACCTACCCAGCAAGGTCAGACTCTAGGGAGGCAGAGATTTGTGGATGTAGGGCAGAAATGTGCTGGCCTTATGGCCAACCCACCACTGTCTTCATCTTCTTTGGGTAAAAGCACATCCTCCGTCACCTTTTGAGGAACCGCCTTTCCCTGGGTACAATCTGGTAGGACGATCAATCCAGATGCCCTACCTTGCCCTGGCCAAATGCATGACCCAAGCAGAGCCAATGAGGTTCTCCCTCCATGGCATTTGAATCGTAGACAAAGGGCACAAAAGACCAAGTGTCGCTGGCGTCTGCTCACTAGTGCTGGTGCCTGGGTCTGACTGTTGCTCTCAATACCTTCTGAAGATGATCTGCAAGCCGAGTTTTTCCACGTTCCCTTCAATTCTAGGTGCCCCACCCCATAGTCTTCCCATACATGCCTTTTCTTAGAGTTAACTAAAATTGAGTGTGTTTTTTTGTTTTCAGCATACAGAACTCTGGCTAAGCAGTCAAAACACATGGCTGCATCTAAAATGTCACTGAGACCTCAGAGCAGGAAAAGGTGAAAGAGGGGCTATAGATCTTGTCTACGCTTCTTCTGACAACCAAGCAACAATTGCATAAACAGGGCAGGAGGCGAAGTGAAAGCAATCCTCTGTCCTCTCGTTCCCATTTCCAGTTAGAACTGAACCCAACATCCCAGCCTGCAGGATTCCTGCTGGGGCAACTCCCAAAGCCAAGGAGTCTGAAGAGACGCCCCATCTGACAACACACAAAGGAAAGACCTCAGAGGGTGTTGCCTAGGGTCAGGCATCCCAGGCACCCCGCCTATGAGCCAAACCCAAGAGGAAGGAGAGACACCCAAAGACCTCCCAGTTTGAAAGTGAAGGGAAAGATGCTAAGTGCTTAGAAGTTTCCATGTACAGACAATTGGAGGATTACCTAAGGTCACATTCCTAGTGTTATTAGACTCAGAAATTGCCTCACCTACGACTGCTCCCACTTTGTGACTCACAGCTCTCCATGCTGCACTGGTAGGAAACAGATGTCATGAACGTTTTACTGTGGTTTCCAATTGCCACCCTTCACTCATCTGATTCAGACCTAAGAGCCTTTGGCTTTTCCTTTCTTTTCTTTCTCCTCCTCTACCCTTTGGGCCTAGAGGGGAACATCTAACAGGCAGAGGCTGACTCCACCTGTCAACCCAGCCCCTTACAGCAATGGAGAACAGCCCAGCAATGCCCGAGAAATGAGTTCTTTTTCTTTCCAGAACTTCACCAAATAAGGAGAGAAGGATCAGAAAATCACGGTGATTAGATTATATGGAAGAAGGTCAAAGATTAAAAATCCACTGCCTCTCATTATTAGAGGAGGGATGACAGATTCAGACCAGAGCACAAAAGAAAATACATTATTTCAAAACAGGATATGAAACCCAGTCCCAGGTGATTAGTCTCTGTTAAGTAAATTTACCATCTAATCTTTTAACTGTCTTCCGAAATTGTGGGTCCAACATTCTCGCCCTCCTCCATTGGAAGCTTAACCTTGGGCGGGTACCGTCATCCACCCTGAGCTCAGGCAGCACCCTTAATGGAATGGGGAGCTCATTTCAGGGGAGTGAGGGTGGGGTGGAAGGGTCTGTAAGCGAAATGCACCTAGTAATAAAAGCAGGATGTGTGCACCGCAGACCAGCACAACTGGAGGTGGGATGGGGATGGAGGCTGGGGCAATTTTCCTGGCTTTGGTTTCAGAGCCTGGCCCATCAATGAGGAGACTATCCTTCAACCGCACTCCAGGCTCATCCTGGGAAAACTGGGCTCTCCTCTTTCCACGCAGCCCCAAGGGGCCCACATGCCAAAGAATCTCATGCTCCGGGGTTGTTCTCAAACCAGACCAACCTTCAAAGCTTTGATTTTAAACGAATGCTGCTCTGCAGGCCAAATATCACAGGCCTGCGTTGGGGCCCAAAGAGGACAAGATGTGCGCTTGGAGGCCAGACAGGCTCACAACACTATCCAAGCGATGAGTAAACAAAGAGAAAACAAGACACAGTGGAAAAGAGGGTCTGTTTCTCAGCATCTTTCTTGGCTTGGGTACCAGTCAACATGGCGTGTAACAATCAGAGCGGCAGAGGATATCAAACCCAAAGCGACTCTTCCCTATTTACCAGGAGGAACTCCTTTTTTTCCGGTACTTCACTGTTTTCTCGTCTGTTTAGTCTGAAAGGCTGAACTATTGCACAAAGACAGTTCTCTCCAAGAATGAGTTTTCCAGAGAAAGCTCTTCAGACAAGGGCAGTGTGTGAACTGCTCTCAGCAGCCTGGAGAATGGGGTGTGTGTTTAATAGAAGGGGGCTGGGGCCGAGCAGGACTCCCTGAAGGATTCCCAAGGTGCTCTGTTTGTGTGATTTATCCCTTCTGGAAAATCCAAACATACAAATGTGCCTGCTGTAAAAGCCAGGGCAGACTCCAGGACTCGGGCTCCCACACAAAGCTAACCACACACGGCTTGCCTGCCCTGGAGGTTTCCTCAATTTTAACCTTTGTAGGTTTCAACCAAAACAGATCAAAGGGAGGTGCATGTAGTTTTGCTGGGGAGCAGCAGGCCTCACTTCTCTCTCTCCTTAGCTCCTACGCTGACTTCGCAAAAAGCCCTGGGAGAATAGGAACTGGGCAGAAAGAGGCCTCCCTCAGCTCCTGGGATTTCAGAACCAGACATTGTCATCCTGTTCACCAAGCAGCAAAAACACACGACTCTGAGGTCCCACACTTTACAGAAGGGGACACAACCCTCAAAAGACTCCAGCCCCAAACACTTCTCATCTAGTAACCATTTGTTTATAGAAATTTTATTCACTTTATGAGATGCCAGACTAGCTCGGCATGCCTTTGAAATGCCAGCCCCCACACCCTCTCCTCCCTGCCTAAAATGTTCTATGGAGTGGTGCCGGGTTCTGGGATGTGTGTAAAAGGTGATGGAGAAGGCAGTCTGAATTAAAAACGCATCGTCCCTTGGACATCATTCCAAAATGACCAAGGGGAAGGCTGCTTCCCCCAGAAGACTCAAAATGCATGATTTTATGTGAGTCCCAAAACAATCTTGCGATGTAAATGCTTTTACTTTCATCCTTTTGTTATACAAGGAAATTAAGGCTCAGAGAATATCAGTTTTTGGCAAAGGTCACCCAGCTTGGTAAGTGGCAGAGCTAAGATTAGGATCAAGGCCTTTCTCCACACTCCAAGCTCTTTCTTTCTCCCATATTACCTATCAACTTGGGCAATATGGCAAGGCTTCAGGAAGGCTCCAGAATATTCCATGCCCTTTGATCCAGAACTACAAGGCTATAAACTTAACCCAAGACACACTTATGAAGGGAGACAAAGATAAATTTACAACCATATCATCAGTAACACTATTGATAGCAGCAGAAATTTGGGAGAGAATATTTAATTATATTATATGGACTGTATTTAGCATTCTATCCATACAATAGAATACTATGCAAGTATTCAGTCATTAAAGACTCTAGGGTAGAAGAATATTTAATGATGTGGAAAAATGTTTACAATGTAAAGTGAAAAAAGTATGTAACCAAATGTCCATCAAAAGCAATGGTTACACTCATTTTGGTAAATCTACACAATGAAATACTACGAAGCTATGGAAAAGAATAATTTAGTTCTATACAAGTACTGACTTAGATTAATTTCTTTTTGCTAATTTATATTTTTCCCAAAAAGATATATTTTTTAATAAGACAAAAAGCATTGAGAATATTCAACATTCATCTGCAGGGCACTATTTAGAAACTATCTCAATGTATGACTTTGCCATTATGTGCGCAATGCTGATATTATACACAAGCAAAGTTGCTACAATTTATGTAGCATGTAATTTGAACCACATGTCAGTTTATTCATTAATATGCATTTGACTTGTTGTAGGGTAAATGCCAATAGAGACTGACTATACAACAGTTCAGATTCTGGTAAATTGGGGGTTGGGGACAAAGAGGGTGGGGATTGGATCTGAATAGAGACAGGTGCAGATGACAGATTCCCAAGATTGCAGTGAGGCTTGGGGGCCTCCAGGAAGGAGGCAGGAGGATCATTCACTCCTCCTAAGCAGTAGCACCAATGCATATGGTGGGGTTCCCATGAGCAGGCCCTTCCTTATACCCATAAAAATAAAACAAGTCCTCACCCAGAGAAGCCAAGAGCAGACCAAATCAGCAGTCACTGATCCTGCCAATGCTCCCTGACTTTAATTATTGTAGATAGAGCTGAATGGGTTATGCAGGACTCCAAGCACTGCTGCCCCCATCCCTCCTGCCCTTTACTATAATAACCATAAGTCTTAATTTCTTCTTTGATCAATAACTCCATGTCTGAATTCTAAAATACATCATCTGCTCTCATATTCCTCTGATAAATGGTTTGAATTAATGTAAAGCACATTATTCTTAGAGCCTGGGCTTATTATATCAAAGACATCTGGTTTCCCAAGAAACTTCTAGGACCCTGGATGTTTAAGGGCACTAAAGGCTAAGACTGGAGTCCCATTAACTCTTAGGTGATCATTACCAGTCAATGAACTGTTGATTACCGGTCCCTGAAGACATAAACACTGAGGTCGAGAGTATCTAAAAATGATCATAGCAATGTGACGTTGCTACATTTGTATACATGATATTAACCACCACACTTTCCATGACCCCACATGCACAGTTGTGTAATTCTTTCCCTTTTTCTAATTATGGGCATTCTGATTATATTTTTTGAAATGTAATATTATGCCTCTTTAATCTAATAATTAAATATTTGTGCTTCTATTCTGTATGTCTGCTATGGTTTGAATATTTGTCCTGTCGAAAACTCATGTTGAAATTCCCAATGTGTCACTATGAAGAGGTGGGGCTTTTGAGAGGTGATTCATGGCTTAATGCATTAATAGGTTATGGTGGGAGTGGGACAGGTGGCTTTATAAGAAGAGAAGAGAGACTTGAGCTAGCACACTCAGCTTCCTCTCCATGTGATACCCTGTGCCACCTCAGGACCCTTCAGAGGGTCCTGAACAGCAAGAAAATTCTCACCAGATGTATCCCCTTGACCTTGGATTTCCCAGCCTCCAGAACTGTAGGAAACACGTTTAATGTTTTATAAATTAACTACCTTTGGGTATTCCATTATAAGCAATAGAAAACAAACTAAAACAGTATATTTATTTCATTTTACTAGTACATCATTTTTATTGCATTTTACAAATATATTAGTCTATAGGTTCGAGTTTGTTTTTTTTTTTTTTAAAGAAAAAGGCCATCTCTAGGTTTGGGCCTGTGACTCATGGACTTAGTCCTCTCAGACTTTGTATTCATTAAGATAATCAAGAGTGAAATACAGTTGACATTTGGGGGACAGCCCTGTCTCTGAACTCTAGCTGAGTGGTGCTTTGGAGGATCACCAGGGCTCTCTAAGAATCTCTTTGGACTAAACTGATGGAAGGTTAGGGGTTGAGATAATTCTGAAGTATAATCTTGTTATTTTACACCGAGGGACTCCTGATTGTTCTACTGGCTTTGAGATCCTTATTTCAAACACAATCATTATCTCCGCTGTACCCTGCTGCCTTGTAATTTCAAACTTTTTGGTCTGCCTAAGTGTACCCAGTAACATTAAAATTTTATTTAAATCAACCTGGGCTACAAGAAAATTTACATAAAAACGAAAGGCAGGGGAAAAGATACTGCTGCCCGCAGGTTTAGTTTCTTTTGAGAAACAATAATCATGCATTTTGCCACGTTATTGAAGTCATAGAATAGTTAAAACTGAAAGTCAAGAATGGGTCATACTGCTGACCTGAAGACCTGGGTGAATTGATGCTCCTGTCTCAAGCCACATTGCCATTCTCATTCGAGATGGATTTGAATGTCAAAAGGCTAAGTCAGATTTCTTGATATCTACTGGCTCCAGAGAACTTAGCGATCAAAACATCACTCTCTGTACAATAAAATGTGTCTCACTTTGTAGAGATCGCACAAGCTTTATCCCCCAGGTAAACTCCTGAAGATCACCTAAAGCCAGGGATTTCCCTGTCTGGTGCCAATTTATCTTTTCACATAAATCAATAGCAGGTTAGTGCTACAGTTTTCTTCATCTAAGCCTTGCAATCCTTTCCCCCAGGATGGAAGAAAATCTCTTCTTCATCAGAAATATCACAAATCCTCAGTGGGACTTTGATGTCTGGTTTCTCTGCAGCTAAGATTCTTTTCGGGTGGTGGCATACAGTGGTGGAGAAGGGCAGAGGCTGAGGTCCGTTCTTTGCTCTGTTCTCTCTATGCTGTGAGCCCTGAGAAGAATCACATACATGGCTCTGTGCCTCAGTTTTCTCATCTGTAAAATGGGGGAGCCTAACTCCTGGGATTATGATAAACAAAAATTAAATTATAAAGCACTTAGAATGGTGCTTGGCACACAGTAAACATTAGCTGCCATAATTATGTGCTTATTTAAAAGAGTATAAGCTATTTCCAAGAGGTTTCTGGAGGTATGATATGAACAGGGAAATCATAGCAAATTTTTCCTTTCTCCCCAAATTTTAGTCTTAGGTTAAAAGTACATTAAGCCATCATTACTATCTAAAAAGGAGGCCTGTAATCCCATCACTTTGGGAGGCTAAGGTGGGAGGATTGCTTGAGCCCAGGACATCAAGGTTGCAGTGAGCTATAATCATACCGCTGAACTCCAGCCTGGGTGACAGACCCAGTCTCAAAAAACAACAACAAAACACTTATGGAAAAACAATGGATAAAAGAAGTATTAATATAAATATTGTAAAATGTATTTTTAACAAACTAGAATATTATTTGATTTTGGAACTAAGTACCATAAAATTAAAAAAAATAATAGAACTTTAACATTTTTCAAGGGAGGAAGGAAACAGCAAATCTCAAGTGAATATAAAATGCTGGTGAGCATGGGTAAGGACAAGAGCTCAGTGTTGGGGCTGGCCGGGCTGTCGGTGCAGAGCTCCTCAAATTGCATCGCCCTCTTTAACAAGGAAACTGGTTATTCAATCTGCATTTCCTAAATGAGAACCAGCTACCCCATCTGAATTGCCCAAATTCAATTAAGTCACCTGGCATGCTTCCTGTCAATACCCTCTCTCTCTCGTCTGGCTTTGTCTTTTAACCATTATCGCCTCTGATCATTGTGAAGTTAAGGGCTTCCAAGTTGTCTGTGTAAGGCCAACAACAGGGGAAAGCTTTTTCCAGTCCCAGTGAAATATCAAGGTAAGGCTGCAGGGGGCCTAATGACCTCTTGCTGTGAAAATGTCAGGGTAACTCTGAAAGCCACTTGTGCCCTACTTTTCCAAGGGGAAGGCCCCTTTTACACTGTTTTCAACTCCTTAATGGGCTACTTTTAGAATTTAGAGGCAAATGATTGGAATATAAGGCTGATTATCAGTTAATTGTTAATGAATCGTGAGTAACAGGAAAAAATTTATACATCATAGAGCAACATCCCAAACTTCAGTGGCCTTTTCAACCCAGGCTGCTTGTTACACACCAGACTGCTGCTCTCTGCACCTCCCATTCTGAATCGGGAGGCCTACAGTAAGCCTTCTAATTCTGCACTTTCAAGCACCCAGGTGGTTATGATAATAAACTTCAAGAAGTAATGATCCTGAAATACCACACGTAGGAGAGAAATGCTAAGAAGAAAACAACAAAAAACCGGTAAGGGAGTCATGTAAAATTTTCAGGCCATTACTTAGAACTACACTTACCTGACTCCCAACTGTGTTCTCTACTAGACACGAATTCTCTAAGATCAGGAGTGTTCAGAGTACTTTCCACGGCCTCCCTGGGATTTGCACCTTGCAAGAAGAGTTCAATTCCTGTGTGGGGAACTCAGCTAAACCTAAAGGTTCAGCTGTTTCAACAACTAGCCCAGGAGTCAGGACCCAGTTCCTTGTACCATCTGAACTGAGCCAAAAATATGCCATCCTGGCTTCCAAGGTTATCCTGCCCATTTTTCTGGACTTCCTAAGACCTTGGATCATCAAATGAGATTGGGCTTCAGCAATCTCTAAACTGCTGTGGTCATGAGCAAGTCCTCAGAGGAGGAAGCCAGATTTAAGGGCTTTGCTCCCCGCAAGGGGAGTCTGCGTCCCAGTGATTACAAACCAAAGAGAAAAGCAATCATGGTGCCTGGAATCAACCTAGTGGTTGACTGCTTGCTTGCCTTCCCAGCACTTCTTTCTCTATGTTTTACTGCAACAGCCCTCATTTTTATTTGCAGAATCTTCTCCTCCCCAATTTCCTATGCACGATGGGTGGAGCATGTGGTCCTCGGCTAAGCCAATCAGCACTTCTCATTCTGTCCCATGACTATGCTGGAGCCAATGGGAGCAGAGGTGCCCCCCAGGAATGCAGAGACAAAGACTCAACTTGAACCTGGAGGCTGTGAGGTTTGCAGCTGTGGCAGCTGTCTTGCAACAGTGAAGGGGCACCTCTCTGCAAATGGAGCCAAAGCAGAAAAAGCAAGAGAAGGGAGGGAGGATGGGGGAGGCAGGAATAGAGGGACAGAGACAGAGTGTGGTGGTTGTATGTGAACCGCTGGTTAAATCATGCCTGGGAGTGCCCCACTCCCAAGTTTTCAGACCAGTAAGTCAATCATCTCTTTTGAAAGTAAACTTGGGTTTCCTTTCCCTAAAACCTTGTGACCGAAAGGCACGTCACCTGTGCTAAGGCTTTTCAAATGAAATGCCCAGCCTCATGAAGAAATACTTTCTATAAGGGGCTGACACTGAGTCTTCTCAAAAGGCATATGCGTTCAGTTTCCGAAATCAGAATGCATAATATACCTCATACTTTTCAGTTCTTTCATGTCTTTTCTTACATCTGGTTTTCCCAATTCCCTCCCTGACAGGGCTAGATGCTAAGTAGGCAAATTTCATGATGTAGGGCAAAAATAATGATCCCTATGTGACAGATGATGAAACTGAGACCAAAAGAGGAGAATGAACCCACGTGAGGTCGCTGTTAGCCAAGGAGCCAGGCACTGCACATCCTAGTGATGTGGATGAGGGAAGGGAAACATCTGGACTGTGGGGCTTCTTCCATCGCTTCCATAACCCTTCTCTCCCTTTGGGCACCAAGATGCTTTTCAGCCCACATTGGTAGCTGCGGGGTGAGGCTTCAACATATTCGTCAGCAAAAACGTCAGCATCCAGGCCCCCATCTCCATCCCACCCCTGCACTCTCTGCTTTATCATAGCTTGCATGACTTGGACCATGCTGTGAGCACGGCCCTCGCTGCCTATGCCAGTGGGATTTTTCTCCACCATTAAACACGTAGCAGTTTTAGCACAGGCTTGGAGTCATTATGAATATGACTGTGGGCAAGTGACCACCTCTCTATTGCTCAGATGCCTCACCTATAAAATGGGGTCATAACAACAAAGACCTTGCAGGACTTTTGCATATTAACGAGATATATATGAAGCCCCTAGCCTGGATTTAACTCATGATATACACATTGTTTATAAAGGCTAATATGTATCAAACACGGACTTGGCCAGCGTATTGTTTAATGGTCACTAAGCTGTAGCTCTCTCTTTTGATCTGATTCCTACCCAACCTTCAACAGCTACTTCAAATCCCACCTTCCCCTTAACCGGGAACCCTGACAACCCCAGTTCTCTCTCCCTCCCTACTATGGATTCCACTGCTTTTGATGTCAGAGTCGCTCCCCGCTTTGCATTCCTCCTTTATGTTTACCACGTTAATTTATCCCACATATTCACATGACCTGTTTCTC